TTAATTGGTTGTTCGTTATTATTTCTGTGGGAGGGAATGGGCTCTTTTGGGTGATTATTAACTGGTTGTTAGTCGGCGAACGAGAATGAGGTTGTTTCAGACATTGCTAACTGGTTATTTAATATGGTGGTTGGGTTGTTTTGTTTGTGGGGTATGACTTATTAATTTGTTATTTTTTGTTTTATTTGTAGGATGGATGATAATTATTTTTGTTTTGTCATAATTGTTTGTGATGGAGGCTGGTTTACCATATTTGTGGAGTAATTCATAACTGTTAACGTGCTTATCGTGATGCTCGTTTTGTTAGTGGAGTAACTTTTACCTTCTTATTTTCTGTGTTGTTTTGTTTTGTTTTCGGGGTAAAATAATGGGGAAATAAATTCTAGTTTGGGAAAAGGCTTCATAAAATGTGTAAGAATATCTGTTTATATAAAAGAATATGGTTATGAAGAGGATATGCTAAAATAAAATTACAAATTAAGCGAGGATAAGTTGTGTAAATTCCATATTTCCATAAGAAAAAAAAATGTATATACGAAAAAGAATTAAAAAGAAACGTATACAATATGAATAAAGTATATCACAGACTTCCAAAAAAAATTAAGTCAAAATAAAACACTTCCATATGTATAAAAATAGGCTCGTTACCCCTTAATACACATGAAAGAAAACTAAACTAAATTACCTGATTGTTGATACGGCCGATTTCGCGTTTGAGGATGTCCAGATGAGCGGCCTTACAGTCAACACATATTTTCTTTTCGCAATGGGCGCACACAGACAGGTAGTTCTTTTCGTTACATACATTACATCGTTCCATGTACTGGCCTGTTGAAAATAAAACTTTGGTTAGTTGTATGTCTATTTATTTTTGTGTGTTAGTAATAAAAAAAGGTATACAGTATATATAAACTTTATTATAATCCCTCGCAAGAAATGATATCAGTTTATTTGTTTACTTTTTCTTTCATTCGTTATTTGTCATTTTAATCTGCGATCTATATGTGATTTTAAGGGAGGGATTTTCGTGTTATTTTAAGAATAATCAAAACTTTGGGATAAACGAAAAAGCTGTCATAAAATAGTACACTGGATTGAAATTCCTCTATTTAATTTATCCAAACTAATAATCAAACAAATAAATCATACAAGAAGAAAAGAAGGACTATACAAAAAAAAATCCCATCGTTCGTCTAGCGCGAATGCAGCTTCCGCCTGCATGAATCCGCGAACGCCTTAGCCCCGCCCACCGCCTACCTACCCGTATGTGGATCCGGTGCCTCGCCAGTGATCTCGATGTGCGCTTCGAGGAACCTCTGCAAGGTGACGTTGGAGGGGAAGCCCTGGACCCCGTTGTAAGGGATCCTGTGCTCGGCTCGGCACTCTGGGCACTTGACCTAAGGGCGGAAGGCGGTGTTAAAAAGACGCTTTGGGGGGTTTTATACCGGGGTTTCATTTCATGGCAGGGATATTAATGATGATTGTTGGGGTTAATGATATTCCTTTTAATCAATATAATTATAGTAATTAAAAAATACAATTGAAATTAATATTGATAATTGTACTAATTATCACTTTCAAGATTAAAAGCATAATTACAGCGATAATGCTAATGCCAATAACACAAAGATGAATAGCATAATAGCGTTGATGATAATGTTTTTTCTAGTAATAATAATAGCTATAATGATTGTGATGGTGATGATAATAGCAATAGCATTATTAATTATAATGAGGGTGCTGCTGCTGATGATGGTGATGATTATGATTATCATTATCATTATCATTATTATTATTGTCATCATCATTATCATTATTATTATCATTACTATTATTATTATTATCATTATCATAATTAGAATAATAACATAATGAAAAACAATAATAATGGCAACTGCAATAATAAACATCGACAATAATAACATGATATTTAGAAAAAAACTAATTACTTAGTGGTCTTGGTAACTACCACATACATCCCAACATAGAATCATGACCACATACAGCTCTAACATAGCCATCGTCAGTACAACATATGTCGAGGTTTAAGACGGGATATGCTGCTTTACTCCAATGGCAAAATAGATAAATAAATAAACAGAATACAATCACTGAAGTTTAAAATGTTGAAGATGTAAAATCCGACAAATGGCGTAAATTCTTTCCCTCGATATCGAAGGCTCTTGACATCATGACACATCACCACCCCCACTTGCGTACATCACATCAACACCGCGATTTGCGTTCATCATACCACATCACCGCAACTAGCTTACATCATATCACATCACCACCATATCACCACATGAGCACATATTAGTTCCATCATCACATGAGCACACACTCGCTTCCATCATCACACATCACATCACCGCAACTACCTTACATCATCAACATCACATCACCACCATATCGGCACATGAGGACACACTCGCGAACCCACCTGTCGACGCACGTAGTCGACGAGGCCCTCCATGCAAGGCTCCATGCACACCGAGTGCTGGCATGGCAGCAGCTTCGGGTTCCGGAACCGGTCCAGGCAGATGCAGCAGGTGAGCAGCTGCTCCAGCTGGTGCGCCATCTTGCCTCCGGCGGGTGCTCTGCTGGGGGAGAAAGGGGGGGTGAGTGAGTGAGTTTTGCTTGGGGGAGAAAGGGGGGGGGTGAGCTTGTTTTGCTTGGGGGAGAAGGGGGGGGGTGAGGGAGAGAAAGGGGAGATGGAAGAGGGACGGAAAGTAGGAGTGAATGAGGGAGAGAAAGGGGGGGGGGTGAGCTTGTTTGTTGGGGGAGAAAGGGGAGGTTAGGGAGGGAAAGGAGGGGAGGAGGGGGGGTGAGCTCGTTTTGCTTGGGGGAGAAAGGAGGGGTGAGGGAGGGAAAGTGGGAATGAATGAGGGAGAGAAAGGGGGGCTGAGTGAGCTTGTTTTGCTTGGGGGAAAAAGGAGGGGGGGGGGTGAGGGGGGAGAAAGAGGGGGGAAGGGTGAATGAGGGAGATAAAGGGAGGGAGTGAGTGAGGGTGATAAGAAGAGGGAAAAGGGGGGGGGGGATTTCTGTCTATATATCTGTCTATTCATCATTTTATTTCTCTATTCTTGTCTTTGTCTTTAGCTATCTACTTATATACAAAAAAAACTGTTCAGAAAATATAGTGAATAATCGGTATTATCTGCAAATAAAAAATAATTATAAAGAAAATTGGGTAATCCACAAAATGCAGATAATGTAGACACACTGAAGGGTTTTATATGATAATAATAGCATTAAAACGAATAGAAAAAAAATATTAATAAGAAAGAGAAAATCAGTCGGTAATTGTAATAGATTTAGATATTTAAATCATTCTAGCCTCGACTCCGTTATAAGAGCGATGCACTTCCCTCCCTTTCCTTTCTCTGTCTTTCTTTCTATTTCTCTCTTTTTTTTATCTCATCTGTGTCCTTCCTTCGTCCCTTTTGTCCTTTATCTCAATTTCCCTTCCATTCTCTTTATTCCTTCGCCCTTTTCCTATCCCACTGTTCTTCTTTCTTGATATTTCTTTTTCGCTTTCTTCTCTCCCTTTCCCTTCCGTTCTCCTTCGTCCTTTTCCTATTCTTTCTCCCTTTACCCTCCGTTCTCTCTCCTCCTTCGTCCCTTTTCTCTTCTCTCTCCCTTTTCCTTCCCTTTCCTTCTCCTCCCCCCATCCTCTTTCTTCTGCCTTTCCCTTCTATCCTCTCTCTTCATTCGTCCCTTTCCTCTTCTTTCTCCCTTTCCCCTTCTCTCTCCCTTTAAGCGTAATGTTATTCTATCAACTTGACCACCGGTGCCAATGACGTACGTGGCACTCAGATGCCCAGATGCCCGCATGCCCCTCGCACACGTGACCTTATATCGCCTTAAGTCGGGAGTGCGTGACGTCATCAATCTCCGGTGGCAGCGAGTACACAACCCTAATTTAAGGCGATGGAGTGAGAACCTTTTTTTTTTTTACTCTTTCTTTATGTTCATATTTTCTTTTTGTTTGTTGTGTAGAGAGTTAATGGGAACGAGAGTATGTAAGTTTATATTTTCTTTTTTTTTAGGTGAACTTTTGTTACGGAGAGGAAGAAAGAATGTACGGGATAAGTGCGTAGGGGAATCGACAGAGAGAGAGAGAGAAAGAGAGAGAGAGGAGAGAGAGAGAGAGAGAAAGAGAGAAAGAGAGAAAGAGAGAGAGAGAGAGGAGAGAGAGAAGGAAGAGAGAGAGAAGAGAGACGGAGAGAGAGAGAAAGAGAGAGAGAGAGAGAGAGAGAGAGAGAGAGAGAGAGAGAGAGAGAGAGAGAGAGAGAGAAGGAAGAGAGAGAGAAGAGAGAGAAGAGAGAGAGAAAGAGAGAGAGAGAGAGAGAGAGAGAGAGAGAGAGTGAGTGAGTGAGATAGAGAGAGAGAGAGAGAGAGAGAGAGAGAGAGAGAGAGAGAGAGAGAGAGAGAGAGAGAGAGAGAAAAGGAAGAGAGAAAGAAGAGAGACGGAGAGAGAGAGAGAGAGAGAGAGAGAGAGAGAGAGAGAGAGAGAGAGAGAGAGAGAGAGAGAGAGAAGGAAGAGAGAGAGAAGAGAGACGGAGAGAGAGAGAAAGAGAGAGAGAGAGAGAGAGAGAGAGAGAGAGAGAGAGAGAGAGAGAGAGAGAGAGAGAGAGAGAGAGAGAGAGAGAGAGAGGGAGAGTGAGAGAGAGAAAAGGAAGAGAGAAAGAAGAGAGACGGAGAGAGAGAGAGAGAGAGAGAGAGAGAGAGAGAGAGAGAGAGAGAGAGAGAGAGAGAGAGAGAGAGAGAGAGAGAGAGAAGGAAGAGAGAGAGAAGAGAGACGGAGAGAGAGAGAAAGAGAGAGAGAGAGAGAGAGAGAGAGAGAGAGAGAGAGAGAGAGAGAGAGAGAGAGAGAGAGAGAGAGAGAGAGAGGGAGAGTGAGAGAGAGAAAGGGTCAGTGCCAAGAATACCCACGCGGGCTGAGCTCAGGTGCCAAGACCGGCACCCGCTGTCTCAACCGTCACAGAAGGCTTTGGCTCTAGCTTCGTCTCGCCTTATTCCGGTGTTCGAAAGGTTGCGTTAAATCGGTAAGATAATGCAGTTTATGTCTTCTTTTGTCCGGAAGTGAGAAGAATATGAACATTTAATTTGTTAATTAGTGATGATAATTATGAACAAAACTTATTGTTAGATAATTAAGCGAAAATAAATGTCTAAAATAGCCCTTTATTCTCCCTGTCATAAGAATATCCGAAAACAAAAGAATGATACGTAGAAATTCGTTTTCTTTTTTTTTCTTATTCCTATCTCTGTTTATGGCTGTCTCTCTTTCTATCCATCCTCCATTTCCCCTCTTTCCCTCTCACACTCCCGCTCTTCCTCCTTCCCTCTCTCTCTCTCTCTCTCTCTCTCTCTCTCTCTCTCTCTCTCTCTCTCTCTCTCTCTACCTCCCTCTCTTTCTCTCTCTCCCTCCCTTTCTCACTCTCTCCCTCTCTCTCCCTTCCTTTTTCCCTCCCTCCCTTTCTCCCACTCCCTTTCTCTCTCTCTCTCCTTCCCTTTCTCCCTCCCTCCCTCTCTCCCTCTCTCTCTCTCCCCCTCCCTCCCTTTCTCCCTCTCTCTCTCTCTCCCTCCCCGCCCTCCCTCCCTTCCTGAGCGCTGGTCGAGAATCCCCGGATCGGGACGCGGCGCCGCCTAAGAATACCCTCCTTCGCGGCGGTCGTCGGCCCCTCGCTATGCCCGACGCAGGTGCTGCCCCTCGCCGCACGCCCGCCCGCCCGCCGCCCGAGGGCATGGCCAGAAGCAGCTGCCCTGGGGGAGGGAGGGGAGTGATGGGGGTGTGGTGTGGGTTTGTTTGTTTGTGTGTGTGTTTGTGTTTGTGTGTGTGTGTTTGTTTGTGTGTGTGTGTACGGCCGTCTATGTGTGGTTGTGTATGTGTTCTCATGCACACATCCTTGGAACTATGAAAATATATTTATTCGACTTCCGGTGAATAGAAACAGCCTCTTGAGCTTCATTTCATCCAAATGTTTTGAAAAAAGTATCAAGACTAACAACATAAATATTCCTAACACTTTTTTTCTCCCCCAAATAAATCCAAATTCTTTCATTTCTCTTTAATCCTTTCTTAATCTCTCTCATTTTATTTTTTTTCCTCTCTCGTTTACACTCTCTTCTGACTGTGATGAGCGACTCCTCCAGCGCGCCAAATTTAAAACAGGCAGCTCGTGACCCTGACACAGAAAAGGAAACTGGGATATCCCACCCAACCTTCGTTTACCCCCCCCCCTTATCTACCTCCCCCCCTCCTCCCCTCCTTCTCCCAATCTTTACCCACCACCCTCCGTCCCTCCCTCCTTCCCTCCTTCCCCAATTCCTTCTTCTTACCCTCTACTTACCTCCTTTTCCCTCACTCTCACCTTACCTCTTGACCAATACCTTCCCTCCTCCCTTTCTCCGGTTTTTACTTCACCCTTTACCCACCTCCCTTTCCCTCCCTCCATAGCCCACCTCCCTTCCCACTTCTCTCCTTCTCCTTCCCTTCCCTCTCCCCATCTCTCCCCGTCGTCCCTCTTCCCTCCCTCCCCCCTCCCTCACCCCTACCAATCTCCTCTTTCCCCTACCCACCCACCCCTTCCCTTCCTCCCTCCCCCCCCACCCACCCAGTGATCGAGGCCCACCAACTTGGCTGAAGAAAAGAGAACCAGCTGGCTTTGGGCTTTCCCCACCTGCCCCGTCTTCTTATCACTAAGCCATCTGCAAGACTCCTGAAGGGCTGCAGATGGCACCTTTGTTTAGTTTGCTAGGCTGCCGTCCGTGTCAAAACGCACGATTTAGGTTCAAGGGAGATATGGAACAGCTTGTGTTATGGAGCTGGTTCTGTGAATGTCTTAAGTTATCGGGGTTTCATGGAGCGAGCAAGTCGTGACCGTCAGTTAGGGGAGAAATGTATTATAATAACAATATCTTAAAAGTTATTTTTTCTCCCCTTTTTCTATCACTATTTTTCTTCTTTTCTTTTTTGTCTTAAGCTCACTAGGACCACGCCCTCTAAATACAACACGAAAACAAACAATTAAATCAACTCACTATCCTTGATTAACTCTATCGAAGGCCTTTGACCATCGGAAATGCAAAAAAAGAGGTAACACCAACAGCAAGTAATAAGGACAGTTGTTGCCTCTTGAATATCACGTGGCTAGTCAGAGAGACACACTTCCCCCCCCCTCCCCCCGCAGAACTTGGCAACTCTGTGCACTTCGTCTTATAAACATTCTTTGTCCTTTTTCGCTGTAAAATTGCTTTAGATAGTCATTTGTTTGTTCCCGTTGCCTTTGTATACTGTGCTCTAGATGTGAAATATTAGTTTATTTTATTATCTTTTTTTTCTGAAGGTTGATATTATCATTTATTTATTTATTTATTTATTATTCTGTTTTTGAGGAGGGAGGGTCCGTAATATTTTCTTACTCCACTTTTTAAAAAAATGACATAAACGTTGTCAGTAACAGTAATAAAAGTATTCTCGTGAGTTGGACAGTAGAGAAACACGATAAATGAAATAATTATTTTTGGACACGCCGGTTATGAAATATAATTTTTGAATTCTAAGAAAATATTACTGACATTCGGTCGAGAA